TCTAAAAATGTCACCCAGAGGAAATAATAGCTTGACCACAGTCTTGTTAAAAACAGCTGAAGAGTTTCCTGAATCCACTAAAACCTTCCTCTTTTCTTCCCCTAGTAAAGGACACATCCTGGTTCTGGGTTGGTCTTCAATTTTAGCTTCGCCTGTAACTCTGCATGTGACCACAGATTCCACGCTACCGCTAACGTGACATGCATTAAACCCAAAGAGGAATTTTTTATTTGGGCACAAGCCAACATGGACTCGACGCTTGGTTTCCGGAGCTGCTCTTCAGTAGGTCAAACTTCAGAGGTCACAGGCTGATTCATAAAATAACAGTTCGAAATGAACCTCATAACTCAAAACTCTGAGGCACAGAAAGTATATTTTTAAGTTATGAATTCAAAAGAATAGTTCTCCCAAAAATTAATTGTGTGATCTTGAAAATATAAATTGCAATTTTGTTGAATGGAAAAGAGAATACTCTGAATAAAAGGACAAAATTTAAGAGAAAAAAAGAGACAAAAATGTTCATTTTGTAGGTGAACTATTCCTTTAAATAGGCAGGAAGGGCTGTGGAAAAACCCTCACGGCACACAGCTAATCATTTACCCGCACAGGTTGGTGGTTTTCCCCTGGCCATAGTTCACAAGAAACATTCCTTTAGCATACGTGACCTGTGCATGTTGTGCGTCTGAAGCCCCGAGGAGAGGCTTTCTTAAGACAAACTATACTGAGTTCAGGCTTTAGTAAAGAACTCTTCACAGTGAGCAGCTAAGCTCTGATATTAAACCAAGTTCACTTATTTCAAGAACAATTTGTTGAACTGAATACAGAACAATATAGGCTAGGTTGGACTACTGCAAATTCCACAGTACATACTGCAGTATACAGTCCATAATTACTGTCTCTATTAAACTAAACACTTAAACTATGTTGCTGTCACATGACCAAGCATATTTACATTGGCAAGAAACATCTAATTATCATCTCAGAAATAAATGCAATAATTGCACATTTATGCATCACTGGTATCAGGAATACCACAGATTAGAGCTTCTGAAAAATGTCAGTTTTAGTAGTGTAGTGTAGTTTGTTTGGAGGTTAACAGCACTTACACACTGCACAGTATGAAGTGTATGCTTAAAAAAATGAAGAAACCATTGTATTCAGTAGTTTGAAGTATTCAATAATCAATCTTTTGAAATAGTGCTGCACTTGTCACTATTTATGCATAAATATACAAATGCATAAACAAATGCATAAATAAATGCATGAATAAATACATAAAAACAAGGAATAAGCTTGAAAATAGTATTCAATAGTATTAAGTATGCAATAATCATCGGTTTAAACTTGTATGCTGCACTTGTCACTATTTATGCATAAACAAATGCAAAAATACACAAATGCATAAATAAATGCATAAATAAATAGATAAATCCATACATATATAATTGCATAATAAAACAAATGCATGCATAAATAAAATAAAAACAAGGAAAAAGTTTTAAAAGTATGCAATAATCAGTATGCTGCACTTGTGACTTGACCTCACTACATTGCATGAATCTTTGAGCCATCTTGTTGGGTTTGGCAATCAATGTAGTTGTTTGTTCCGAGGTGAACAACTCCTAAATATGAAAAACTGCAGTTTTTAATGCATACTGCATACTAACTTAAAATAGGATCTGAAACACTATACAGTGTGCAACAAACATTTGTAGTATGTTACACTGTTGTCACACGACCTTGCTAGGTTGCATCATCTCAAAAAAGTGATGACTGGGAGTAGCACAAGAATAAGTAAAACCATGCTAAATTTAATATGCGGATATAAAAATCAGATATATGGGCTTTAGCTGCAGATTTAGCATTCGGAGGCTGACAACGCTCCACAAAGGGGTCAGCTGTGGTAAAAACAACCCAAGACAGATTGAGAAAAACACCCTCATGATCCCAGCAGAATTTTAAAGCTTTCCCAAAGGACCTACAAGAATTTTTACACCAATATGGGCTGAAAGTCTCTCTCAGCTGATCTAGAATCAGATTTCCCATGTGTGAGTATTGAGCTGCAGGGGTAGATCTGATCTGAGAACAGCAGTCGGAGTTGTTTTGTGGGTTGACGGCAGACACACTTGGTGGGATGAATGGACGAGAACAGCATTAAACTCTGGGTGACACTGTAACAGAGACAGATTGTGTGTGTGTATAACAGGGATGAATGGCCAGGACTTTGGCAATATGCCTGTGCACACAAACCACCGAGAGGCCTTGCTAAGCTTGTTTGTGTGAGTGTGTAATGTTCATGGACAAGAACTTTAGAACAGTTGGCAAGCTCACTTTAACCGAAGCCTAACAAATGACAGAAGAGACCCATGGGCTACAATCACATTTCAAGCTTTAGTGCTCAGTTTTCTGGCTGTTCACATTATTTTGTAAATGTGGCCAATATCAGATTCAAGTGTAAACTGGTAACGGTCCTGAAATTACCCACATGCGCAAAAGAACAACATAGCAGCAGGCTGTCATACGGAAGTAAACATGGAGGCACTACAGTCAGCATTTACACATTTATTTATAAGGTGATGTGCCATGGAAACCAGACGAGGATAAGGGGAAAGAGAGCAAAGCTTGTCTTGTACAGTTTTTCCTCTAGTTTTGCTTGGAGAGAGCTGTCACCGTAATACTTAGGCGTACCTCACTGTCCCTGCACTGACTACCTTCGCAGCTGTCTTCCATATTAACCAAGTGACCAAAGAACTTCTGGTATGTAAAATCTTTGGAATGACTCCCGTCATCCAGAGTGACGTAAAAAGCAGCATGAACCGATATGACTGTTCAGACTGAGGTCGTACTGCAAAAACACTCTTCAGAAAGTCAATGTCCCAAACTCTACTAGGCCTCTTTTGAAGGTGCCACAGTGTGACGCTCTTTAGAAAGTCAACTTCTCAAACTCTTCTACAACACTTTTAAAGGTGCCACAGTGTGACGTTCTTTAGAAAGTCAACTTCTCAAACTCTTCTACAACACTTTTAAAGGTGCCACAGTGTGACGTCCTTTTAAAAGTCAACATACCAATGGCTTACTTCTAGTTGCAGATTAAACATGAATAGAAGTACTTTAAGTACTTCGACAGCAAAAGTATTACACACACTTCCCCTTTAAATTGGAGATTTGGTTTGGAACTGCATGCAGGGTAAAGAACCATAAAGATCTGCTCCACTTACTCACCTGACAACCCCGCCTCTCGATCTCAGAGATGCATTTCTCGATGAGCAATGGAACCATTAATCCTGAAGCTTCCCGTTCTACCACGCGCCGAGCCTCTAGGCCAAACACCTGTATTTCATGATCCCCCTCTGGGCCATCAAGAGAGTTTTGCCTCTGCTCCATGAGGCTCAGCTTCACGTAGATCATTCCACGTGGTTCCAAGCGGACCGCAAGCTGGTGCGTCTTACTCACACGAAACAAGGTCGGGAGAACCACAGTTCCATGGCAGCACACTCGATTCCTTCGCGGAATTGACTCCCAACTGAAGACGACAAGTTTGAGGTGCTGAGCGTTCTCCAGCTCAATGTTGAAGGTGTGGTCCATATCCAGGAAGGCTGTCCGACAGGTCAGCAAGGCCGTGCGAGCTTTATTGACAGAGTCCACCTGGATGGCACAGTAGACGTCGCGAGAATCAACCCGCGGTGGCTTTAGGTCCTCTGCGCCATAGAAGTGCAGACTCATTAGTCCAGAGATGTACGTTAGGCACTTTGGCTGCTCAGAGAAACTGTACGAACGGAAGGCATCGATATCCAGCTCCGTGCCAGGCAGCTTCGGACTTCCGCCATTCCCATTGGGATCCCTGTCTGGGGTTTTACCGTTCTTTCTGTCTGAGTTTCCGTGCTTTCCTGACTTGGCTACAAGTTCGGGTGAGTCTCCATCACTTAGGTAACCTCCCTTACTGGCCGATTTGGGAACGCCACTGGTGTTGCTCCTTCTCTTATCAAAGTTGTGCTGCAAAATAACACTGCTGTCCAGATGGTATCGCCAAATCACATTACCACTCGCCAATGCAGTCGTCACACCCGCCGGGGACAGTCTGGGCTGGGACTGGCCCAACTCTGCCATCCCATTGGCTCTAGGTGAGTGGGCCCTGGTTTCTGATTGGCCGTTGCTGATGGCCACAGTGCTAGATGGGGTCCCTTTAACACTAAGCTTCCGACTCAGATCAGGCAGTTTCTTCATCTTCATGGACAGTTTTCGGACAGTCCGTGGTGACTTGATTTTATCAGGAAAAGACCAGTTGATAGCAGTGCTCCTTTTAGCTAGATTGGGACTAGAAGAGGGAGAAAGTCCACCAGTGGATTGCTCTGAAGGATCTGTGGAATGAAAGAGGAGAGTTTAATTAGTACATTGCCCAAGTCATTGATCATAGCGGACCCTCAGATGAACTCAATACCTCTTGTGGGTATATGTTTTAAGTGAATCTTATACCACAGGATTAATAAATTCCTTATTCTGATTATCTTATAGACGCTTCAAGGATTCAAGCCAAATTCTTTCCAAAACAGCAACAGTGATTTGGAATATTCAAAGCAAGATACTTTATTGGTAGAAGCTGTACAAACAAGAGTGCTTTAAGGACTTTAAAAATGTCACATTATATAGACATGTACAATGGAAATAAGCAGAATAAATGACTCCCATCCAAAATCAACGCATGTCCAAGGTGTAACAGTTCAAAACTTATATCTTCAGTTCTTCAAAAAACATGTAATCAATTATTCCTTTACCTAACCAAAACCCTTGTTGTGTGCTCGAAACAACCCCAATAATTGGACAATTTGACTCATTACCCATAATTCTTTACTATCTCTTTTGGCCTGTTCACTCCTGTTAAGTCCACAGGATTTCCCTTTTCTCTACGCACATACACGCCATAATAATTATATATATCCCAAAAAGTCCCTTTCCAGTTCAGTCACACACATCAAAAACACAGAACATCTGTGGAACATTCCAGTGCGGAGAGATAAACCAGACTTTCGCTGTGGTTAAATTGCTCTATCAGCCTCAGCATAATTTGCTCTTGCTCTCTCGATTAATAGATTCCTTTTACGAGGGACTTCTGGACCTGGGATGCCATTATCTCCACAGTGTGTTACCGCAGTCAATATGCAGTGGCTGACAAAACAGATTTCTTGAACATGCAACCCAGATCGGTCTCCTTCCTCTACCTCGCCCTCTCTTTCTCTCTGATCACATGGCACGTTCGTCTGCTTTACTACAACAGCGGCTCTGTTGCCACAGTTCAGGGCCTCCTTCAACACCCGCCGTTTGATCTGGTACTCACCCACCAAGATAAAACAAAGACCCAATTCTGTTAAAGAGAGAGAGACATGCCAGCGTGAAGAGACCAAAAAAGAGGGAGGCAAGGAAAAAGAGAAAGACTGTTTTGAGAGAGACTGAGGTGGAGGAGACGGGACAGAGGTTCACACTTTAGGGTTGCAAGTGTGTGTGTCTTTTTTAAAAAACAGTCCACACAAATATGAAGATTTTGTCATAATTTACTCCTCATGTCGATCTTGTGTTTTGGAATAGGTCAGAATTAAACCTCTATAAATTCTGTCAGACTAAACTGGGTTAGAAAGACCCACTGAGTCCATTTGCACAATTTGAATGCTTAACTAGACAACTTACATTTATCTAGTTTGTTGTTTATCAATGCATGTTATTCTGAAGACAAATGTTTTTCAAAATGTTTTTTTTTCTGCCTCTGAATGTGGGAGGAGAACAATAAAGCCAACCAATAATATCAGTCTGCTTTTCACAATCCAATCACAAGGCACGAATTACTTACATAAAAGTAAATCTAAAAATAATCCAGACAAATTGATTGCAAGTGTGAATGAGATTTAAAGCTAATTTGATTTGAGGTGGATCGGAATTTTTACTAAATATCTGTGTTTCATAGAGGCTAATCTATGACTAATCATATTTTAATCTTGATCATGATTTCTGCTTCTCTCAAATAATTATAAGTATAATTGCCTGGGATTGGCTCACTTTTTTTTCATTTGACATTTTACTATTTTCTAAGATTTGACCAGTTTCACAACATAAAGAGAGTGTTAATATTTATCATTTAAATATAATACATGCATATGAGTGGACATTCTGTTGATTTGTGATTATGAAAATGTTCAATAATTCTAATGAAATGTAAAAAAGAACAATCGTGATTATAATGAGCAAAATAATCATGATCAGTTTAACCATTATCACACACTTTTACACGGTTAAAAGTTGTAAATAAAATTACAGTACATTTTACAAGAAAATACTTCACGTTTAAAAATGTCATGTTTAATTCAATGTGTTATTTGCTGCAATTATTTGTTACATTTTCTGCAATTTATTAGTGAAAATAAGTTGGTTTTTTTTGTCAGTGTAGCTAATTTAACAGTATACAGCCGTACATGCAAGTGAAAACCTACAGATGTAAATATGCGACCCCGGCCCTCTCACACACACACACACACACACACACACACACACACACACACACACACACACACACACACACACACACACACACACACACACTCACACTCACACTCACACACACTCACACACACACAGAGTCTCAGATAAGGAGGCAAGGGTGCATTCCAAAACACACACACACACCCCTGTTCTCGTCCACTCAGGAAACAGCATCTCTAATCAAAACACTAGATTTATTTAAAGAGTTTATATCCTGAAAATCTAATTTCTATTGACATACTGTAACCTTTTTGTATATACACTGTGTATATGAAAGGGTTAATAACACTCACTCACTCACTGACTGTGTGTGCATTTACTTTACATTTATGATTGTGACAGGTGGTGAGTGGGTCGATCTGGTCACCAGTCACACTAATTATAGAGTGTCAGAAGACATTTTACAGCCTTAAAACTCTCTCTCACACACACTCTCTCTCACACACACACACACACACACACACACACACACACACACACAGTGTCATTAGTGACAGAGAGAAAACTGAAGTGTTTATCTGAGATAGTGAAGTCTGATGTCATGGACTGTGAGTTGAACTGATCACAGATCTTTTCTCTCTAAATGATTCAAGAGCTTCATTTAAAGCCACAGAACAAAGCTCTGTTACACACACACACACACAGGGCTAGGCCAAATTCAGACGTTAATACTTTAAGGCTCTCGTTTAATTCATGAGTGTGAATCTGAATTGAACTGCTCACACCCTGCAGGATGTTGCATTGGAATTTGAATAGTAATGACAGGAAGAGGAATTTACTGAATTACAATTGAATGAAATTCAAACAGAGTCACACAATAGAGGGCTGCCATTTGCCCAACACAAGCTCCAAAATGTAAATGATTGATCATTCATTTGTAAGGCGTTATTCCCTAAATAGGAATGTAGAATATAATTTCATTATATTTCTGTAAAATAAGTTTAATACTTTTTTGACAGCTATCAAAACATTGTTTTCAGATAATTTTACAAAATGACAAAATTTTAATGTGAAAATTTATCATACTTTATCAAATATAATTCATTCAATAGAGAAATATTGAGATACAAAGTGATCTTTCAACATTATCCATAGTTAATTTATTAAATACACACACACACACGCGCACACACACACGCACACACACACACACACACACGCACAAACCCACACACACACACACACACACACACACACACACACACACACGTACACACAAACACACACGCAACACTCACACACACACACAAACACACACACAGACAGACACACTCGCACACACACTCACACAGACAGACAGACACACACACAAACAAACACAAACACACACACGCACACGCAACACTCACACACACACAGACAAACACACACACACACACACACACAACACTCACACACACACAGACAAACACACACACACACACACACTCACACACTCACACGCAACACTCACTCACACACACAGACAAACACATACACACACACACACACACAGACAAACGGACAGACAGACAGACAGACAGACAGACAGACAGACAGACAGACAGACAGACACACACACACACACACACACACCACTCAAGGTCAGGGTGGACTGCTGCCTTTCGCAACGCCACACTCAGATCCGGTTACCTGCCACCCATGGGATTGTGGGTAATATTACCGTCTCCATGTCATCACTATGACATGTAAAAGCCGTGCGAGCGCTCAGACGTCTCTGGGTCGCTCGTGTTTCGGAGGGGTGTTGGGATGGGAGCTAAAGTCAACAGCACAGGAGGAAAGATCCGGAATGGAACACAGCACAGCATTCAGAACAGAGCCTAAAAAACGCACACTCACGCGCACGAGCACGCTTCTCACACAAACGTGGCAGAAGCTCAACCAGTGCACAGAAGAACTTCACATCAACACTGAAGAGTCTCAAAATGACCTTTAAAAGACAAAACAACCATTTCGCTTTTGTAAAGTAACAGTTTCAAGTGAAACAAAGATATTTGACCAAAAAAAAACATTGATTTTATCCAAAAAGTGGACTTTATGTTCCAGGACAGATCCAGACCTGGACTGTGTTCAGAAATCAAAATAGCACACTAACATACTAGCTGTGCTATTTCCACAGTATGCATCGAATACCTGCATGAGCTACTACGTTTGCTAAAGTGTGCATTATACAACAAACCACACAATGCAGCGCACTTGATTTCACATATCATGTGACCAGTGTTACACACTATTTTTAAAACGCACAAACGTGAGATTAAGCAGCAGGTTGATTTTTACACTCAAAAAGCTCAAATACGTCACAAAATCTAACAAACAGACAAAAAGTCACTTCATATAACAGAGCAGAAATTCGCCCTCTCAGATCCAACCTGACGTTAATTACAGGTTTAACATGATCAGCTTAATGAATGTGACCACATCACACGAGCGCTGGTCAAACAAACAGAGCCGACGCTAACAGACATTAACTCAAAGATGTGTTTGTAGCTAGTATTTCAGCTCAAGGGAAGCGTTACGCTGACAGCTTCACTAGTTCGCTGACAGGAGTCTTTAATAGACATGACTGCATTAGTGAATAATGCCACACATTCATACGACGCTAAACACAGAGCTGCGAGAGTCCTGAGAGCCAGAGATGATATGTGACCCTGGAGCACAAAACCAGTCATAAGGGTCCATTTTTCAAAATTGAGAGTTATGCATCATCTGAAAGCTGAATAAATAAGCTTTGCATTGATGCATGGTTTGTTAGGATCGGACAATATTTGTAAATCTGGAATCTGAGGGTGCAAAAAAATCTAAATATTGAGAAAATCATCTTTAAAGTTGTCTAAATGAAGTTCTTAGCAATGCATATTACTAATCAAAAATTAAGTTTTGATATATTTACAGTAGGACATTTACAAAATATCTTCACGGATCCTTACTTAATATCCTAATGATTTTTGGCATAAAAGAGAAATGTATAATTGTGACCCATACAATGTATTTTTGGCTATTGCTACAAATATCCCCCAGCGACTCAACACTGCTTTTGTGCTCCAGGCTCACATATGATACAAGCCAGAAAACCTGTGCAACGTTCCTTTAGCCTAGAGCTGCATAAACTGAAAACCATGATATGGCTTAGTGTGATTATTGATAAATAAATGCACTGTGTGTTTAAGAGTGAAGCGCGGCACTGTGTTCATTTACACGCGAGCAGCTCATGATCCGGTGTTTTCAGTCTCTTCGTTCACAGTAAATGCTGCTTCGTGTGAACTCATCTCTGTTTCTGAGTTTGAGAGGCTCATAACCTGCATCTGAAAACACAACATGCACCAAACATCTTCACAAACTTGTAATAAGAAGTGCTTATAAACCTTTTATTAAGCTTTAAGGGCTCCCTGTGGTTTTCCAGCAAAATAAAAGCGGTTTAACCTTTGAAAATTAGGAAATTAATACCATGGACATTAATATTGCAATTTTACTGTTTGCTCTGTAAAATAAAATATTTAAAAAACATTCTTCACATGTCTCATATTGTTTCATATTTTTTGTAACAAATTAAATAAAATAATATTAATTATTATTACTAATATTATCATTATTATAGCGTTTTTTAAAATATATAATCACATATTTTGGGGCCAAACTGTGCAGACTTACAAACAAGCAAAAACTGAACAAAATGTTTATTTTTATTTTTTATTTAATATTTTATTTTACAAGAAAATTCAACACTTCACATTTAACATATACAATTATTATTATTATTATTATTTTTATTACTATTATTATTATTATATATTTTTTTATTATTTTATAATCTATTACAATATAATTTTAGCAAATATCATAGTAATGTTTTTCATTTCAGTAATGTAATTCAATAATAATAATAAATATTATTTTATTAAAATTTTTATCATGATTATTTTCTTCACATTATTTGACAGAGAAATATAGCTAAACTAATATTTCTCATTTTAGTAATATCATAAAAATATTAATTTATTATTATTATTACTATTATTATTATAAAATTTAAAAAATATATTTTATAGTCTATTACAGTATAATTGTAGTAAATATCATAGTAATATTTCTCATTTTAGTAACATAATTCAATAATATTAAATAAATAAATATAATTTTTTATTTTTTATCATCATTGTTTTCTTCACATTATTTTACAGAGAATTATAGCTAAAATAATATTTCTCATTTTAGTAACATAATTCAATAATATTAAATAAATAAATATAATTTTTTATTTTTTATCATCATTGTTTTCTTCACATTATTTTACAGAGAATTATAGCTAAAATAATATTTCTCATTTTAGTAATATGATAAAATAATAACAATTTATTATTATTATTATATAGTCTTTTTGATACATAATCACAGATTTGTGGGCCAAACTGTGCAGCCTTACAAAAAGCACTCATTGTAAAAAAATTATAATTTTTTTTTCAGCATGTTTTACAAAACAATAACATTCCAGTCTTCCGACTTCAAAATGATACATTTAATTCAATGTGTTACTTGTCATTTCTATTTAATTATTTGTCAGATTTACAACCAATTCCTGAATGAAAGCTCATTAAAACCACATGAAAAGCAGCTGCACCTGTGGCTCTGCTCTCCTCCTGCGGCTGTGTTTCGTCTCTGGCTCGTCCCGTCTGGATTCTGACGGCGGGAACACAGTTCGGCAGATCGCGCTCTTCATCCTCTGGGATGGGGTTGTACCAGATCTCTCCCTCGGCGTCTGCGTCGTCCTCGGCTGGGTCCGGCGCTTCTGTAGACGTGAATGAAACGCCATCAAACCACTGGACATTTACAGTATCTGCACTGTATTCTTAGATTTACAAGCAGTGTTGCTATCAACTAAAACTATTGAAAACATTTTGTGTTCAATTAAATAAAGCTGAAATAAAATCTAAATATTAGTATAAATATAACATTAACATTTTTATATAAAATGTTATTAATTTTAAATAAAAAAATATTAAATGTAAAACATAAAAAAATTAGAAATGCTGAAAACAAAATCTGAAATTAAAATAAATTTAAAAAAGAAAACTATTTAGAAATATAAAAAACTAGTAAAACGACAAAAGCACTTGAACTGAAATAAAGCTAAAACTGAAATAAAAATAAATTAAATAAATGATATTATTTAGAAATACAAAAACAAAAAAAAAGACAAAATAACACGATTACAAAACAAAACAACCTAAAATGAAAAAAAAAAACTGAAAAGTTAAAATACAAAAATAGAAGCTAATGTAAAATAATAGTATACAAATAATTATTTTTCTATTTCACGAACTGTAGTTTAATGAAGTGAAGTCATATATATTTATTTTACTTTATGTATTTTTCAGTTTTAGTTTTCATTTTAATTTAATTTTGTTCTTATATTTACAACCAGTGTTGCTATCGTTAACTAAAACTATCAAAAACACATTTTTGTTCATTGAAATAAAACCGAAATAAAGTAAAATAATAAACACTAGACATAAAACGTAAAGTAAGCGAAAATGAGAAATGTTGTCTTGTACTAAATTCCTAAAGCGCTTCAAAAAAGAAAAAGAAAAAAAAATTAAAATGATTAAAAATGAACGAAAGCACAAAGTCAGCGTTCATATCAGCACTAATCATGAGCCGTCACTGTGAATTCACACCACTATCTTCTGCACAGCTGGAGGGCCAGACGAAAACATACCATCAGAAGTTTCTACAATGCTTGATGTTGTATTTCTTTCTCTAAAACTACATTTCATTACAGACGTGTTGAACATTCATCGCATTAAAGACATTAAAACTACAATAACAATATCGATGTTTTTGTGACATTGGCTCAAGCATGCATGGGAAAAACAGCTAAATAATAATAATAATAAATGAATAAATAAAATACGTAAATTCATTATTAAATAAATAAGAAATGGAGATGCAAAGATGCAATGGAAAAAACAGTTAAATAAATTAATTCAGTTAATTCAGTAATAAATTAATAAATGAGAGATTGATGCAAACATGCAAGAAAAAAAAACAGCTAAATAACAATAAATTTAATTCATTTAATTAAGTTAATTAATAAATAAATGAGAGATGAGCTTGACTTAAACATGTAAGGAAAATGCTAAATAAATAAATAAACATTTTAAAGAAAGAAATCAGTTAATTTATTAATAAATTAATAAATGAGAGACAGATTGATGCAAAAAATGCAAGAAAAAAACAGCTAAATAACACACAAACAAACAATAAATAAATAAAATAAATGAATGCATAAATGAGAGATGGAGGCTGACTCAAACATGCAAGGAAAAAACAGCTAAATAATAATAAATAAGTAGTTAATTTGATTAAGTTAATTTACCTTATTTTCATTTAGTTTAACTTGATGCACTAAAATAACTAAAACTGAAATAAAGTTTTATAAAACTATATATATAGAAAGAAAACGACCAAAACGGGAAAATATACAAATGAACTAATATATTAACATATATAAATAAACAAATAGCATCTGTAAAGACACTTTAAAGGACTGATGAGTAGGCCTGTCGCAATAATCAATATGTTGACTTATCACGCAATATATGTACATGACCTCAATCATTTTTATATTTACCCCTTTATATTTACTTCAAAATTCATGTCACCATGTTTTGTACATTCCACTTGCGCTTGTGTCTTTCGCAGCTTCTCGTACATAACGCGGTGCAGTCATGAGGTGCTAGTTCACATTTAATAAATGCTTTAATCTGCAGATATGGTCTTGTTTAGGGATCTGACGGACATCTGACTGCGGAGTAGTGATTGTGTTTTTCTGCAATACAGTGCAGCCTTCATTTACAGAGAAAAGAAGGTCCGGGAAAAATCTGTAGATGGAAACATCTCCATACAAGCTCTTTCTGCATTTTTCTTTTTTTTTGTACTTGTTACTTTGCACTTTTTGTTAGAAAATGTTTATTATTTATTCAAGTGTTTTAAGGTATCTAATATTTTGATACTTAATTTCCGTGATCTAAATATTCTTAAAAAGTAAAAGTTTGTTGTCATTTGGAAGTGTGTAGGGCATCTTGCATTATTATGCCGTTACATTATGATTATATATTCAGTGGCATAAAATGGTCTTGGACAATAATATCGCTTATCGCAATTATTTCTGGGGCAATATATTGCACAACAAAAAGTTATCGTGACGGGCCTACTGACGAGGTTCACTCAACTGTACAGAAACTGTGCTTCGAGAGCATCCAGATTTGCAGAGGGCTGAACGCAGACGTCCAACACCAGCGTGACTGTGTTTGTGTGTGAGGTTATGCAGTTCAGAGCTCAGCTGTGACGCTGTTAAAGGCTCTTTCATGACGGAGGACGAGCTCTCACACGCCCAGGATTCCTGCTGAATGACGTTTACAGCCTTCCTCTCAATATTTATACACACACACACACACGTGCACATCAGCCGCACACTTACACACAAACACGCGTGAACTTTAGACACGTCTACATATGGAGCAGCGGATTCGATTACAGGCCGCCACACAAGCGAGCCGTACAATGAAACAATTACAGCGGGAGAAACCAGAACAGCTTTCAAGGAAATCACAAGAGCTAGAAAACTATTTGGAGACTTCTTGCACATTTTCTCATTTAAAAATGCTAAAACAACCCTGAAACTCCAGAGCAAAACCATTTATACACGTAAACAACACCTGATGGTCATTAGACTATGTAACAAACTATCAGATAAACTTTCTGTATTTGCATGTTTTTTCTATCGCTTCACAAACACAAAAAGTGCCAATATTTTGAACAATAATGTCATTTTTCAACACTAGATCTATTGCTTTATCATTTCAAACTGCTTTTCCCCTCCAGTGTGAGTCTTGTAAAGTGTTTCTTTAGAAAAAAAGTGGCACTTGCTTTTATATTTTTCAATCTAATTTCTATCTAATGCATTTTAAAGCACGTTTGCTCTGGGTTTCGGGCTGTTTTTAGGGCTTTTAAATGAGCAAGCGTCCCTCGGGGCTCGAGAGGAACGACCGTCCCCCTCCTCCACGTATTGTGCTCCAGTTTCTGGCTTTCGGTCATCCGAGAGTATTCCCAAGATCACTGCAGCAGCCACATCCTCCAGACTGCAGACATCTAAGAACACATTCTGACACTCAATCTCGTTATGATGTCATCGCCACCGCCGGCCAATCAGATCACTGCGTTACAGCAACACTGGACACAATGTTACTGCACTGCTGGCCAACGTATCACTGCAGCTCCAGTGCTTCTAATGAATGTGTGTGTGAATCTTATACAAATCTTTCACTCTAAAAGCAAAAGAAAAAAATTGAAGAAATGTTATTCTGCCTAAAAAAATTAAGCTTATTTTTATTTTTTTTGTATTGTATTTTTAATTATTATAATGTGAAAAAAAAAAAAGATTTTTATTTTTTTACTTTATTAATGAGTTTTTTTTTTTAAATGATTAAAATCCGCATAAATTAAAGGAATTAAAACAAATACTAAATTGTACTTATAGTAGCTGGGACTTCATAATTACAATTACAACTACAATTCTATTATTTAAATATTTAAATATATATATATATATATATATATACACTGTATATACATAGACGCACCATAACAATAAGGAAAATAATCAAAGGGAACAATTACTTTTCATTAAAATCAGCATAAATTAAAGGAAGTAAAGCAAATACTACATTGCATAGTGAAAAAAAAAAAGATTTAAATGATTTAAATGATTAAAATGTGTAATGATTAAAATCCGCATAAATTGAAGGAATTAAAACAAATACTACATTACTAAATTGGTAGCTGGGACTTCATAATTACAATTACAACTACAATTCTATTATTTAAATATTTAAATATATATATATATATATATATATACACTGTATATACATAGACGCACCATAACAATAAGGAAAATAATCAAAGGGAACAATTACTTTTCATTAAAATCAGCATAAATTAAAGGAAGTAAAGCAAATACTACATTGCATACTTATAAAAATTGTATGTGTATATATATATATATATATATATATATATATATATATATATATATTCAAAAATATATATTTGTAAATATTTGGGAGGGGGAAAATTAATGCATAATTGTCAAGAAAATAATGACACAATGCAAATAATATTAAAGATACAAAAACAGGTCTCATTTTCTTTTTAGGGGTGATTAGGGTTGAAAAATGATTTGAACATGTTCTTGAAGGTTTGTGTGAGATTAACCAGTATTTTCCTCAAATAAACCAGGCTATCTAAATAGATCAGCACACAAATGCTACCAAAATAAGTTCAGTTCACTCATTCAAACCTCAGACACCTAAGATTAAAATAAGCTGTGGATAACAGGACGGACTAATCCTACCTTAACGAACGTGTAATGTCTCTTTTCTAATCCCCGCCTGCATTCAAGCCCTCAGGAACAGAGAGCAAACAAGTGAAACGACGGCCTTGGCATTCCAAATATTCCCTCCCTGGGGCTCCGCGTTCCCATGGGACGGGAACTCACTCGAGAACAGCTCCCTCCGGCCCAAAACAAACATCACTGGCTCATCAGCAAATACACTTTTTTGTATAAAATTGTTAAGCATAATGTTGTCAGGGAGACACACACACACACAATGCTGATGTGTAGACAGGTTGGGGGGGTGGGGGTGTGTGTGTGTGTGTGTGTGTGTGTGTGTGTGTTTCTGTACATCAACAGTTGTCTCCTTAAAAACAAACACGCTTCCTGGCCACGCTCCCTGAAAATGCACTAGCAATGCCAAAGTCATGGGTTCTATTCTTAGGAAATGCAGTGATTAAAAAATAGTCATCACTTGCTCAGCAATGGATGCTCTGCAGTGAATGGGTGCCGTCAGAATGAGAGCTGATAGTTTTTATCAGCTGTTTGGACTCTCATTCTGACGGCACCCATTCACTGCAGAGACCCTGATGCAATGCTACATTTATACAAATCTGATGAAGAAACAAACTCATCCACATGTTTGGATTAAACTTTGCTTTTTGGGTGAACTATTCCTTGAAGTCACTTTGGATAAAAGCATCTGCCAAATGCATAAATGCAATTGCATTGTAAATCTCCATGAACACCACGTCCACTTCCTCTAATTCTGCTCGCATGGCAGTAAAGAGCAACTCTATTATTTCTACATAAACTGCCCAAAGGCCACATTCAACACACAAGATGAGCTCTGCTTGTGTTAATAGCTTATCCTTAAATCTGGCCTTGAAACCAATTTACAAAGTCTGTTTTGGTCTTCAGTGTAATCATGTAGTTTTCTCGTAGGACTGCATTTAAACATGACTATAAACGTGCATTTGAAGCCTGCGTGCAGAAAACAAACAAGCCTGCATCTATCAAAATCATTGGTTTACATGCAAGACACCTAAAAGAAGTCCAAGTTACTGCTCTGCACAAACAAAATACAACAAACTTTGATGCATATCTGTCCCAAAATGTAGCCTGATACGTTCAGATTTGTGGTTTACACTGGAATTCAAAGTTCTGAATAGATTAGTAATGGACGCAAGCAAAATCACAATGATTCCTATTGGTTTCATGATAGAAGATAGCCGTCGACCAATTGTTTTCTTGGATACACACTTGACAGAGCTGCAGATGGACCTATAAAATACATTGATAACCCATAACACATCTTACCAGCAGAAGGGTTCGAGCATCTCGCATGTTCAATAAACATTCACATTTAACCTCAGCACAAAATCACCACCATCACCAAGAAGACAAGCGTGAAATGAATTATTCAGAGAGTGAGTGTGTTAGTGGAGAGGAACCAATCCAGCCTCAGGCCCGCCGGCACGCTCCTGCCAACCGTGTTAGGTGAAACGGCATTAGTCATGAAGGAAGAGGAGGAAAAACCCCAGCACCGGTTAAAAGACACCGAGAAGCTCTCTCAGCGCTTTCCACCAGAGATTGTGAGATGAATGAGATGGTTTTGAGGTCCTCCACGCCAGCGGCCGTCCATACCTGTCTGCTGCCTCACGTGATTGGCTCTCAGCGAGGAACCCGCGATCCTCTGCTTCATCTCGGACGAAAGCACGCGACCTTTCTGCATCCACTCTTGCATCTTGTTGACGGTGACTCCGGGATGTTTGGGCACCGCTGCGTCGTCGCAGGATCGGCGCGCTGAAGCAAGCGTCGGGAGGGCTTCCGTAGGGTTCACCTGTTGCACATCGAGACCCGATGCGACGGCGGCTCGCGACTCTTCCTCACGGTTTGACGAGTACTTCACCTTGCTGTCGCTCACCGACCGCTGGAGCGTCGTTTTGGGAGTCGCGTCGTGAATATTCTGCAAGCTTCTGCTCTGCGAAGACCCCGTCAGACCCACCCCACATCGTCCGAGAAACGCAGAATCGTTACGTTCTTCGGACGAACACGCGTCGCTTTCTGTGCTGACGCTGCCGTGGGATTGACTAGCGCTACTGGCCTGATCCACAAATTCGTTATCTTCGACCTGACCGTCGAATCTGATGTTGTGCATTGTGTTTATTAGCAAATAATACGCCTCTTTCAGTTGGGACTTCAATCTGTCGGTTTCGTTAGATTCCGACGCCGATATCGGCTCACCGATATTCGTATTTCGCTCTTTCAAGTGAGTGTGAGACTCATAAAAGGGTAGAGTTTGGTTATCATAATAATCGTCGTCCTCGCTGTCGACTGAGTGGTGTCGAGGGGCCCCATCTCTCAGCCCAGGGGCCACTGTTATTTTTAGATCAGTGGGGAAAAAATTCGGACTTTGTAATGCGGGCATCCTAAACTCTCCATGATATTCCAGCGAACTCTCTATAACCTGAATTAAATCGCTTTCCGCGTCTATATAATCAAACACATGAGGCTGGGGGCCCCTGGCGTGACGTTCAAAGTCGCTCATAATGTTTTCCCCGGCCTTTTGCTCGAGTAGTGTAACATTTGGTCCTTTATTCTTTAGATCTTGACCATCTGCTAGCTGTAAAGCCTCTCGTCGGGGTTTTAAATCGCAGCCGCTGAAGCCGACCGAGTCTCCGCGGACCCGCGGCGTCTGGAGACGCTTCAGCTCGGTGCGCTCGCTTTGATCAGCGGGGCCCCCGGGCCCTGAGAACCCGGTGACACGCACAGCGCACCGGGGAGCCGCGCTGCAGCCGAGAGCGGCCACACACCTCTCCTCAGCCCTCATCGCATGTGAAATGTAATCTCTCTCTGTCTGCGTTTGAGAAACTTTTTCTTTACCTTCTCTCGGCCGGTTCGCGGTGCTCGCGTCTTTCCCTTTGGGTTTCTTGCCCCTGAGTTTGGCTAGAATTGTCCTCCGCAGAGGATCAGCCATCGGTACCGATCCGATCCTCCAGCTTTAGTTCCGTTCAGCGGGGCTCCGGAGCAAAAGTAACCGTGTTAGAAGCGCATCCGTGCGGGCACGACACTCCGACACACCGCGGTCAGAGCGCTGCTCCATGATCCTCTGAAATCAAATCACACGCGCACACACATTCTCTGTGTGTGTGTGTGTGTGTGTGTGTGTGTGTGTTGAAATAGTTCAGATAGTTTCTGTGGGGGTTAAAGGTTTAGAGGCGGAGCTCAAACAAACTCCACATGCATCCAGCAGCTCTGCAGCTACTTCACTCATCCAGCAACTAGTCCATGCAAGTGTGTACATCATTCTATCCTAAAACATACTAGTAATACAAACTACTTAAAAAACTATATTACATGCATAACATACATATATTTCATACATAAATGAAAAAACATATATTTTTGAAAGTGTATGTATATATGTTATTATATATTTTTATGAAAGTATATATGTAAAATATAAATGTATAATAAAAATGTATCATGTATATATTGAAACATCTAAAAAATGTATACGTTTATATTAAATGATGAGTGTGAATATTGTATTATGCATAAACATATTAAAGTATATTTTTATTATATAATTAATATTTCAGTGAAAGTGTATATATATATAATTTTCATTTATATAATTTTACTTGGACTCACGATACCTATATGTAAAGCTATATTATATACAGATCATAAGAATTTTAAATAAAATGTATATAATAAATGTATGATTTATTATATTTAAAATAGTAAAGAATAAATGACCCTACTATATCATATATATATATATAAAATATTATTAAATTATATAACTAGACAAAATAATTATAATAATAATGGTCTGACAGTCATGATTTGTTTTTATATATATATTTAAAAATATTTTAATCTTCATAAACTTTGATCCGTTCAGCATATTTGTTAATGACAATGTTACCAAAAATAGATCTGAATTCTTTCTCAAGTTTGTAGAATTGCTGTAGTTTTATGGTCCGTTAACTTAATTCGATTTTTAACCTGTGAGTTATTAAGCCTGATGATTGTCCCATAACGACAGTATTAATTTATGACCCAAGCATCCTGGATGAGTTGGCGATGGGTTTATAATATCACTGATCAGGCCTGTTTAGATAGATTACAGCTCAACACTGATATATGGACTAATAGGCTGATTATGTCTGAATAGGATAATCATCACAGGAATGACTCTGCAGGGAAACTGTTTCTCATTCATATTCCGGCCTTCTTGTTTACAAACTTGTCAGCACACGTCTGAGACGGACCGAAGCACGCAGAGATCCCATCAACACGCCTGCATGTCCCGGCAGCCTCCGGCTTCTGGGAATAATCGGGAATGTTTGTCTGAAAGACAGTCAGTATCCGGCAAATCACTTCATCTCTTCCCTCAAAGATCCTGCGATTAAAATACTGACTCATGCTTTTCTTTTAGATCCGACAAGCGTCCGACAGAGAGAGAGCCAAGAGAAACCAACAGCATCTGAGGATGTTAATCCCTTATTTACCTCAGCAATAAATGCATTATTCAAACATTTCCGCTCTGATTTTTTGGGGGGAATGTTCAGCATTTAAAGACTGTATTTTGATTACTATTATAAATGCAGCTAAACATTTTTTTTTTTTTTTAAATCTATAGTGTTTGTAAACAGAACAATAAACTCATAGAAATTAAAATCATAATTAACATGCACAAATCCCTATTTTTGCTAGTTGTTTTTATTATTTCAAGATTGATTTTATGACATAATCAATCAATACTTAACTGTTTATCATTCAGGAGAAGAACACTTGTATATACTAGTTTATTACTGAAAATATTTAAGTAACCACACACACACACACACACACACACACACACACACACACACATTCAGGAGAAGAACACTTGTATATACTAGTTTATTACTGAAAATATTTAAGTAACCACACACACACACACACACACACACACACACACACACATATAGACTTAAAATTCTAAATATTTTCATATATATTTATAGATAATATAAAATAATATAATTAATATATATAATAAATATAACATTAATGTTACTTGAAAAATACTGTCATATAACATTATTATTTATTCTATAAATATTCTAATTAATTCTATAATATATTATATAAATAATATATACATTATATCAATCTTTCACATTGTGTATATATATATATATATATAAATAAATATAACAATATTAAATAAAACATATTGTTACTTACAAACATAAATACTTTCATATATATAATATATATTAATAATATAATACAATATCATATAATATTAATACATATAATATATATATATACCTCAAGTTTGGAAACAGTTTTTGATCTTTAAAGGATGTAATTCGAGCTTCATCTCTTTATCCCATTTCTGTCACTGTGTCGCAGATAAAGCGGATCATTTGAATCATCACTGGATCTGACCATCTCCAACACTGATCCTGCCTGTCCCATCATGCACTGGGGTCATGCATCTTAATGAGGAACGTTTTGCAGTGGCAGATTGAGGAGACAGATTCGGATGTTCAGTTATGAAATCAGGGAAATGTATCAGAAAAACAACCGAAAGCCCCCTGCAATCACACACACACACACAAACACGCACGCACACACACACACACACTCACACACTCACACACACACACACCACACACAGCAGTGAACACGCGCACACACACACACACACACACACACCCGCGCACACACACACACACACACACACACTGTAGTGAACACGCACACACACACACACACACCGTAGTGAACAGACACACACACACACACTCACACACACAGACACAGACACACACACACACACACACTAGCGCATGCCTGTCTTGTCTGAGCATCTGTGCGCATGTCGCAGCCTGCAGCAGAATCACACGCAGTGGTAAACAAGGATGTGGGGTGATGTGTGTGTGTGTGTGTGTGTGTGTGT